CTGCATTATTCAAAATCTCAACAGATGCAACATCACCATAGGAGAACAACATGATATCATCTGAAAATGCTAAGTGTGAAAGTGAGAGCTTCCTACATCTCCAATGGTACTTGAAGTTATTGCTTTGTGAGATTGCATTGTCAAGGGCCAGTGATAGAACTTCCATTACAAGAACAAATAACTAGGGAGAGATGGGGTCGCCTTGCCTGACACCCCTCTTTCCTTTGAAGAAACCACACAACTGTCCTTTAAGGGAAATGGAATATGAAGGAGTGGTAATACACTGCGCAATCCAATGAATAAACTGGTGTGGAAAACCAAACAATGACAGGACATCAAGGATAAACTGCCAATGTAAAGTATCAAATGCTTTTCTTAGGTCAATTTTGAGGGTGCAACAAGGTGGATGGGATGCTCTATGATAACCATTCAATAGTTCATGTACCAATAAGATATTATCTGTGATATGCCTATTTTTTACAAATGTTGTTTGGGTAGGGCTAATAACAGAAGGGAGGACCATGCCTAATTTGGTAGCTAAGAGCTTAGAGATGCATTTATACAATAGGTTACAACAAGATATAGGTCTATAGTCATTCACAGTGGTGGGATTATGGATTTTGGCAACCAGAGCAATGTATGAACATTTTAGGTGGTATTGTACGACCTACAAAACATGTTTTTTGTGATTTGCTTTTAAAATTCAGAAATCTTAATGAAGTTACCAAATATGTGTTTTTTGTTCTTGATTCAAAAATTCATAAAATAAATGGACATTATCAAACAAGTTTCTGATTTCGATTCAATGCACTCCTACAACAAAAACAGTTGTTTTGTTTTAGCAAAAACAATATCGCATGCCAAATGCGCTTGGTAGTTAGTTAGCTTCATCAGTACCATTATAATTTTCCATTCTTAAATTATATAAACAGATGTGGTAGAAAATAAATTTTATTAGAAATCAGTTTCAACCTTCATCAATGCATTTGAAACATGCTATGGGTTTTATGCATCCTAAAGATATTGATTTCTCTTATTTTAATAGATAAATTGATATAAATGTTGCTCCTGAAAAAGAAAAAAAAACATTTTTTTTTTTGAAAAAAAAATGGAAGAATGATTTGTTTGATTGGACAGCAACCTCGCTTACTGCTTTTTATTAGAATTATACCATCAACCTTATACCATCAACCTTCACTAAGAGGCCGGCCCATTACATTAATGTTGTACTAGTAACATTTTTTTTTTAAATGGAAGAATGATTTGTTTGATTGGACAGCAACCTCGGTTACTGCTTTTTATTAGAATTATACCATCAACCTTCACTAAGAGGCGGCCCATTACATTAATGTTGTACTCGTAACATTTTGGTGGATCTAATAACTTGATAACACATTCTCATTCATATAATTTTATTTCCTTCTATATCTCTTCTTATTTTAATTACTTTCACTTTTGGTGCTTCTCACCCACTCTTGCGCTTGTGATTTTAATGTATATATAGGCATTGGGAAGACTAGAAATACTCAATATCTTATCTTTAAAACTATTCACCTAAATATCCTAAATATTTATAAATTTTACATAACTCTCTAATCTTCTAAAAATCTCTACACTTAAAAAAAAAAAAAAAAAAAAAAAAAAAAAAAAAAACCATCTCTATGAAGTCTTTAATATTCAAAAATCCTCTAATTCTCTCAAAACACTCTACAATTCTCTATCTCTATAAAAGATTTATTAAACTCAACTTTTCACATATGATTTACCCAAAAAAAAAAAAAACTTTTCACATATGACATAAAAATACAAAGTCGTGTGACACAAATGATGTCATAAGATTCTTATGAATCTAGTTATTGCAAATGTATCAATGTGTATGTTTCTTTTTCCATAATTTGTGAATTGTGATTATAGTATCCAACCCTTGTCATGGAACAAAGTCATGTGCAAAAATATCTATCTATACATCGTTGTTCAACAAATATTCTCTATCTTTAAGCTCAATATTTCCACGTACAAGAAAATTAATAAACATTTCTTCTAACGTGTCAACTTTATAGCTAATAATTCTTTTTAGTGTCACACTCTAGTTGGGTTGATTCCAGTTATTATTGGTTTCTACACCCCAGAAGACAGCTGAAATTTGAATAATTTTTTTCTAAATGATAAAAATAAAATATAAAAAATTGCGAAATATATTATTCCTAGCAATAGGAATAAACTGGTAAAAGGATAAAAATAATTATTGCAAAACAATATCTATGATTCAAGTCGCCACATATGAAAATATAGAACTGTCCTCCAATGAGAGCAAACATTTAAATAAAAAATTGTCAGCACTTATAAAGAACATCTAAGATTCATGTCCCACTTTTCAGTCTTACTGTCACATGTGCCAAAGGATTGTTAAGTTCTTTTGCCACAGATTTTAGCAGACTTAGGAATAAATATTGGTTGCGCATGACTTACCAGTTTATTTGAGTCGTAATGTACACATGCACGTGTGAGCACGTGTTGTGTACGTACGATTTAGATGAATTTGGTGCACCTAATACCTTCTTCAAGTCTTGAAACTGGACAGAGTTTTGGAAACTTTCGTATAAGATCTTAGTAATGCAGTAAAACGGTTTACTACGTACTATGTTAGCTATATTGGTATTTTGAATGTATGTGAAGATATCTCAATATAAATTTTCTTTATTTTTTTTTTAAGTGCGAAGTTTAACCGCAAAAGATAAATAATGACGATATATAAATGACACTATGACAGCATATGATAAAGAACCATATAAATATGTTAAATTTCACCTTTGCATGTTTTGCATTATATAGTCAGCTCTAGTAACAATTATGAATGGGTCAAATTGTATGTTTAAAATTTTATTTCTCAAATTAAATGGAACTTATTTTCGAATTAATTCATTTATGTGGAAAGAATGTTTTAAATGGTAAGTTTATTATACCAATTCAAGACTTTTTCCTGGATGTTGCTTGATATTCAATAAATTATTATTGATCATTTACCGGGAAAAAAAAAAAAAAAAAAAACTATTATTGATAGGTTGAGTGCTTATTATACGAAATTATTTTTTCTTTCTTGATGAGTAGTTATAATTAGTTATGTTTATTGTCCAAAAAAGTAAATAATTACTAATGAAATTGCAATCAATAATTAAACAGAAAGTGTAATCAATAATTATTAATGAAATTGAGATTGCAAAGAATTAAAGCTTCCGTCAACTGCTAAAGAATGATCGAATCCGCCCTGAGTTCGACCAAATTAAACGCCTTTGAAACCTTATACACACATACAGGATACATATACATGTATATATATATATATACACACACACACACATAGATGTTTATAATAACAATAGCAGAAAATATGTCAGATTTACGTACCGAAAAGAACGAAACAGACCAAGTTAAAAGATGATCACAGAATTCCATACTAACGTTTTTAGAGCGAGAAACATATATACATATACAGGCTTAGAGAGAGGCGTACGTAACGTACCCCTTCTCTCTCTGTATATAGATGTTTCTCTCTCTAAAAAAGTTATTATAGAATCTGAAGAAGCAGACGAGGAGAGAGGCGTCCGGAGAGAGAAAGAGATACAAGATGGGAGGGAAGACGTAGCCCCCCTTATAACAAAATTGGAGGGAAGATCGAGCTAGGCGTTATAAGAACGCTTTTGTTCCTTGCTAATCAAGGAAAGTTAATATGATATTATATGACACGTGTCATATATCTGTTGCATGGGCACACTTACAATCGAGGTTAATGTAACAAATTAACAATTTGCTCCTTTTACATATTGGTGAACATGGGAATCAATGGATTATTTATTTTTTATTATTATTATTATTATTGTTGTTATTTTGAATCTTTATATGTATTTAATTTAATTTTTAGTTTTACTTACTTAAAAAAAATTATAAATTTTATTTTTTAAAGTGATTATTGATTGAGTAATTATTGATCATTTATTATATATTTTCTTTTTTAATAATTGATATGGTTCATGTAATAATTTTTCATTCCTTAATATTTTTTTTTTTTTAAAGTAAATAAATGCATAATTAAACAATGTTAGTAGAACTTGGGCATATCCCTAAAGTCCAAAGACAAGAAGTCCGCCCCCCATAAAGAGAAAACGACCCAAAAAAAAAAAAAAAAATTTAATTGGGTACAAAGAGAGGCCCAAGTCAAGTCCAATATCAGTCACCCCACAACTAAAATCAGAACATAGGTGGGAAAATCATCTATTCAAAGGGGTTGATTTGGTCTGGTTCCAAGAAGGAATGAGAAATACTTTCTTGTTCACCTTTGGATCGTGTAACGGACAGATTCAAAATGTATAATTGCATGTATAATATATGTATATAATTGCATATATTATATGAATGGTCCGAAATTCAAACGCATCCCAACGGACGCAAGAAAATTTTTCTCAGGTGAAGGTTCTAACCGTTAGCAATTTTCTCTGCATACAAACATCCACAGCCGTTTGAACGAAAAATTGAATCCCCATAATTATTAGATATAATAATGCTAGTTAGGTTATTTTAGTCCAAGACTCTGAATAAATCCGATGTGTTGCCTACAAAAATGGTAAGAGGGATTTTTTGTTTTTTTTTTCTTTCATCAAATAGGTCCGGCAATGGGTCACCCACGTGTAATATTTATAGAAAACAACCACCCAATCAGTGGTTGTGATTGATGAGCCAAGTGAGTGTACTTTTTGGCGATGCATTTTATGACTACTCAAATCAATCATGAACATTGGAGAAGTTAAATTACCCAAATATATATCTTAATTTATCAAAAAGGACAAAAGGAACAGTACTTTATTCTGATAAATCCACAATGACTTTATTCCACTTTATGGGTATAATTTAATAGATCACTTCTATGAAAAATGAGTTTGATAAGTGACTCCCGGAGTTTGGTTTTTTTATATTCTTAAACCCTCACAAGTACAATCCAAAAGGAGAAAAAAAAAAATCAAAAAAATAAAAATAGAAAACACCATACTCAACCAATCAAACTTTTTCTCTTCTCTTTTATTTCACCAACCCGGGCCCATTAAAACATGGGCCTCAATCAAATTATAAATGGTGACATGATCTGGCAACAATAGATTGATGAAGAGGCCTAATTGTGCCACCATTTTAAACTATTACCATATGGACAAATTTAATATGATGCCTACTTACCACCCACCATGCTCCCATTCACTAGGCATGGGTGGCCCGTGTCCTGCAGTTGGCCATCCCAACCACCGCCACACCCTTTTCCGGCCGCCGCCTTCCGCCACTAAAACCTCTCATCTCCACCACATCATCCTTCGAACCCCCACACATCACTGTATTCCTTTGCCAAAACCCTTTGCCCTTCTTGCTCTTGTTCTTGCTCCTCACTCCATTGGTGTCGCTTTCCGACGAAGACAACAACGACCCAATCCTCCGGTGATCGCCCTTATCGCGGCCAACAAACCTACTAGACTCTATGTAAAAGTCCAGCTGCTTCGAAATTCTCTGGATTTCATATGTGTCGAGAAGAGAATTGTCCGTTTGGCTAGGACTTAATTTCGGACCCATTGACCGTGACCCTTCCGTGACCAATTCTTCTTCATTGGTTTTCATAGCTTCTAGCTTGTACCGCGTTGGCTGTGGAGCTCTGTGAATCTTCGTAAGATCGAATTCGCGCATCGGTCTGAGCTCGGATCCTGAACCACGTTGATACCATGCCCATGCAGCTGCCTTCACTGTCGCCAATTCGTCGACGTCCTCGCCGTGTTTCTTCCTCTCCGTGAAGTACTTGTAGATGCCGGGGAAGGTTGAAGATGACATGTTTGTTTTAAAACATATGATAAAGTGTTGGGAAGTTTATATTGTTGTACCATTGTAGTTGGGGTATATTTTTCTCTCAAGAAAGGTATGTATGCGTCATGGGCTTTGTTTGGGTGCAATTGATATATAGAGAGAAAAAGTTGATAAAGGTCCCTGTTTTTTTGTAATGTCAAGACTTGAATATGTGGTGGGTCATTGAGCCAACCCTATGTGTGAGGTGGGTGTGATTATGGGGTTCTAGAATTGAGTGGACTCTTCTCATTTGGAATTTCTTTTATTATTATTTTAATCAATTAATTAAGGGTGTGAATTAGTCTATGTCGACCTAATAGAATAATTTGTCATTATTTAGGAATTAATTATGGAGTTTATACAATAAATTATCGGTGGTTATAATTGACACGCAGGACATATTGTACTATGTTGTATTTGTGTAATATCAATGTCACAATCAATGACAAAATTCAATAAAAGAAACATTTCAACTAATCAAAAAATATAATAGTCATGGGGGCATTAGTTCTGATAATCTAATAGTCATGGGGCATTAATTCTAATAAAGAATCTAGCACAAGAATATATAGATATACTTGTTTTATATATGGTATGTGATAACAATTCGTGAGAAGCTCACTGATTGGGAAAGATTGAGATCATGATAAGATTCATCTATTGCACACACCAAATCCTGCGGAGCCCATAATAAGTGAAGGTATAAAATAAACACCATCAGAGATTTAAAAATGATATGACAAAAGAGGTAAATAAACTGTAATTGATGGAAGAGATCAAGAAAGGATGTCTCACACACCACAAATGTTAGAGGACGAATGTCATCACTCACAGGTGTGAACGCTCTACACGTATGAGCGTGTACGGTCCCACTGCATAGTTTGGGAGGGAATTTGTCATATTACATCCCCTTTCTAGATTCGTGTAAACAATCACAGTCGTCTCTTGTTGTACATCACGGTGCTGTTGAAGCAAAAGATCCGTGTGCCCAAAGCTTGTTGTATTTGTGCTTAAAAGGTATGAGGAAATAAATTGTAATAACAATGTAAGGTTTGGATTTGTTATGTGGTATTTAGATTCAAAGTATAGGATCATACGCAAACATAAAAGAGAAGGTCATGCACAGAAAATACAGAACATGATTGATACATTTTGTCTGAAAACATCAAAAAATTTATTCCCTTTGTATCGTTATTAATATAGATGTTACTGTTATTTAATACATGAGGCCAAACCTTAAGGTAAGCAAGGTCAGCTTGCTACATCAGGAAGAAAAACAAAGGAAAGATACTTGAATGAAAAATGGACCGTGGTGGTGTTGTTCTGATATATTCCTTTTGTGAAATGTCAGCAGAGTCACGGTTTCCACAGAATGGTGGTCTCGGCAATCATGGAAGTGACCACGTACGGATCCATATTTGAAGCAGGCCTCCGGTCCTCGAAATACCCTTTGCCTGCTTTCTCCGTGTCTCTGCCAACCCGAATGGATGCACCACGGTTTGCAACCCCCTGAAAAGAAAATAATGTGCACAAATATGAGAAATCCGTGTCCTCCTCTTCAGTTGTAGCACGAGCAATGAATAATGTCCAAAAGTGTATCAGGCTCTAATGCCCTCTGTTAAAGAAACACAACCCGTTCATGGTTTTATTACATCAACAACAATTGAATAGTTCGATAAAAAGTATGTTTTCAAAAGTGCTCAATTTATAGGAATTGGTGGTGGTAGTCTTCCAAATGGTACAATCTTAGTATGTAATGTAACAAACAAAATTTTAACATTTTTGCATAGGTTAAGAGGGAATGTGCTTACCCATGAGAATGTATTCATATTGGCTGTTTCATGTCGTCCGGTGAGGCGACGCTCATTGCCTTCGCCATACGCGGCAATATGTTCCTTGTGCCTTAGCCCAAGCTTTCGAATCGCCTTTTTGATGACCTCATAGCCTCCGTCGCTCCTCATAGACTTGGTGCTGAAATCATCATCATAGACTTCGGTATGAGAAAGAGAGAAGGGGAGGACGAATGGAGTGTTAACAATCCATCTACTCTAAAAGTTTAAGCTGTTAGAAATGGTGTAATTTAAATATAATCTCTCAACATGGAGTACGTACATTTCAGTATAAATGTACATTACCTGTAGTTTGTGTGAGCACCGGCACCATTCCAATCACCCTGGTGAGGCAACAAAGTATTAACATCATATGTCGTATCGCTTCCATTTTAGCAATTTAACAAGGAAACTAACGATTCTTGAGAATCAAACTAAAAAATTTACCGGGATTGGTTTGGGGTCAAAAGAAAGCACCACATCAGCAATTTCAGTAATCCTCTGTTAACGAAAACAGTTCAATATTTTAGCACAACTATTATATTACAAAATCCCGGATACAAGTACTAGCAATTTTCCATGAAAATGTAGTAGTAGCAGCAGCAGTAATTATTTCGATTTTGTTGAAGTGTACCTCCAGAATGTAACGCGCCACCCACAACTCATCTCCGGCTGAGATGCCAACAGAAGGTCCAACTTGAAACTCCCACTGTATTTAACATGACCGAGGATGAAAAGTTAGAATTCGGATTAGAAGGGAAGAAAACAGAAAGGAGATGACTCGAAATCTTCGTTTACCTGGCCTGGCATCACTTCTCCATTGATGCCGCTTATGTTAATGCCGGCATAAAGGCAGGCCTTGTAGTGAGAATCGACAATGTCACGTCCAAAGGCTTTGTCAGCACCAATCGCACAGTAGTATGGTCCCTATGTCACAATAACAAAATAAATTGAATCAAAACTGATACACATAGAATCATTAGAGTGATTGAAGAATTATCTCAGGTGTTGGAAAGAAAATTTGAAGTAAGGAATTAGTAAAAAAAAAATTACTGTAGAACTTCTTTAAGATATAAAGAAAAATTAGGATTAAAAAGGAAAGAAAATTTTGAAGTATTGACATGATGTTATGAAATGAATTTCAACACCACCAAGTGGTTGCCAAGCATGTCAAAAGTCTGAAACTGGGAAGCTAAAACAGCAGGAAAGGAGGACACATAGATAATACCATTGAATTCATATGGTCTTAATAAATAAGAAGACTTAATCAAAATAATTTAGGTAAACTATCACCACATCTTTTAAGGTTTGACAAAAAAAAATATACACGGATGAAAGTTATTTATTTTTTGAACAATGCCGTTCCCTTCAGCTTTGAAAAACCCACAAATCCTTTGTTATAAATTAATATTTTAATTAACTTAAATACATCAAACCCAAACCCTTTCTCTCTCTGTATGCATGTGTGTCTTACTTAGTCAACTTACTCTGTTAATGAGTTTTTTTTAAGGTAAAATAAGTAATTAAACCTTTAACAAACCAAATTATTAAATCGAATATCCAACTAATAAGAATCAGGTATGAATACATGAATTATATAAAAAGGCGGTTCCAATAGCTCTATAATTCAACACCGGAAGAAAATAATGCTGTTTCAAAAATTCCCTTAATTCTACATAGAGCCTTCATCCTTCGAATCCGACCCAGATTTTGCAAAGATTAATACATATATATATATATATACACACAGCCCCTTTCTCTCTCATCCACAACCCATTCACAGCCCCTTTCTCTCTCATCTCTCCCCTTTCCATTCTCTCTCTTCAAGAGATCCGATCGGCGTCTGCTAATGGTCCCGGTTGAGTCGACTCGTTCACTCCTAGCTCTCTATCCAACTCAGTGACCACAACTTGTTCCAAGACGACGGCGAAACTGCCGCTGATCTTCTAACACCGACGCCGGAGAGGCTGAGGTGCTGCGGCGGCGGCGGCGATCCCCCGCCGGTGTTGGTGGTGGTGTTGTAATGTGTATTTTATTTATATATATGTTAGCAGACAGAGACACAGAGAAGCATAGTTGGTGTGATAGGAAGAGAATAAGAAGAAAAAATGAACAAGGGGTTATTTGTAAGGTCTGATATTTTATAATGTATTTAAATTTAATATTGAGAGGTAATTTTGTTTTTTTTATAAAATTTAAAACTTTATTCGGATGGAATTTCAATAAAAAGAGTGCATTATTCAAAAAATAGATAACTTTTTATCTGTACATTTGTTTGTCATACCTTAAAAAGTGTGGCCCACTAATTTAAGTATTCAAGACTAAGGCAAAAAAAATATACACCAAAATTATTAAATGTTGCGAAAAATATGTGTTTCGTTACCTGGGGTCCTGGATAACCTCCCAATGGCCAGCCAACAGGCCACTTAACATCTTTCTGCAACAAGGTGTACTCTTGCTCGAGGCCATACCTATTTTACAGATTGAATTTCAAGTAAGAGTGGGATTCTAATAAAAAAACGATATCAACACCAATATATCCTAAATCCTGAGATGGAAATTCCTAGACATTCTCCTCGATCTAACTATTTGCTCTGATCGTAATCACAACTACAGAGTAAAACTTGAATAGAAATGAGAACAAAGTTCGGGAAAAAAAAATAAGCATAACTAATTACCATGGCTCTTCTGCAACGACATCAGGATGGCTGAAAATATTGGCGGCATTATACCTCTTGTTTGTTGGAATTGCCTCGCCAGAGGGAGTGTAAGTATCACACATGACCTAAGACAATTACGAGATAAATAAAGACACTTTAGTTCAAAATATGGTTTGAAACATAATAAAACAAGTGACCTTAAACAATAATAATGAATTGAATGCAAGATAAGGTTCAACTTACTAGAATATTGTTGCCCCTCCTGAATGGATCCTTAAAAATTGCTTGGGGACTGTTTTATTATATCGTCCGCGCCAAAAAAAAAATCACAGTTAAATAGAATTTTTCTCATTTGAAGTAAATAGAATCAAAAGATTAAAAATGACAGAAAAATAAAAAATAATACTTGTTGGGGATTTTAAGAAAAATGAACAAAATAAATGAATGTACAAAGATAAAACATACTATAGGATCACTTCACTGTCTTTCCCAGGAGCTTGACCTGTGCTCGATCCATCGTAATTCCAATTTGGAAGCTCTTTGGGATCGGTAACAGATCCACGAAGAGTCTATGCATATCCAACAGCCACATGCATCACAAATCTTCACACCATTAGAGCAACAGTGGTTGTGTTTAAGTTGTATGTGTGTGTGTGATCACCTACCATAAATATATATATAAATTTTTTTTCAAAAAAAAATAATAATTACCCTTGCTTTGCTTCTGAGGTCCATGCCTGATCCACCAATCCTGTTGAAGAATTTGAATTAAAAAAAGAGAATTAAATAATACTAGATTGAACAAGGAAAAGGATATAAACAATTTTTTTTTTTTGGTCTCACACTCAAATTTTTAAAATAAAAATAAAAAGGCTATGTTAGGATCCATAAATATAAAATTTGGTGAGTTTCTGAAAGAAATGAGTAAAAAATAGTTACATAGCTATATTTACATGGAAAATGACTTTTGTGATGGAACCATGACTATATTTTAGAACAAGTCAAGGCTTTTGTGATAGAAAAAGGTTAATTTCTTTAACTCGATAATTAGCAATTAACTGCTTATCCTTTTGATTTAGTTATGGATGTAATGACAAAAGGTTCAGAACAGAGTTTTATGGGGTAAGCCATTTGTTGATTATATTGTTTCAATTAACAAAATTAGAGATGGGACTGGAGAGAGTATATAATATATGTAGGACTAAAACTGAATAATGAAATGTAACTTTAATAAACTTAAAATACAAGTGGTGAAATCAAAGGTCAAGAAATACCAAAAAAAAAAAAAAAAAAAAAAAAAAAAAAAAAAAAAAAAAAAAAAACCATTTTTGTTAACTAAACATGATTATTTATAAAATAATAAAAAAAAGGTACTTTTCAAAAAATATATTTATAAAAATAAATTCTGAAATGATGTTAATCAGAAAATTAAAGCATGATGGGTTAATAAAGGGTGCTTCTGGCATATTGTGAAATCGCAAAAACTTAAAATTTGAAAGATAAATTCTGAAAAACAATTATTAGATGAATCAAACTTTGTGAAATTGTTTAACAGGGTGTTAGGCGGGTAAAAAACAACATATTCACATAATGAGAATAGCTAGAATGCGCAAGTTGAGATGGATGTGCAACACGACAAGAAAAGATAAATTTAGATATAAACATATTCGTGAAATGGTTAGAGAAGCATATAACTAGTTAATAGAGGGAGGAAAACAATAAATTCTAAAAAAATATCTAAAAAATTCTAAAATTTATAAAGAACCTCAATTTGAGTCCTTTTAGGTCTTATTTTTGGAAGACCACATATTGAAAGGTCAATGATTTTAAAATATAACCCCACCCTTATTCCTTATTTTATTTTATTAACATAGTAAATTATATTTTACTTAGATTTAGTAAATTATCAACAAAAAAAATACGCTTTAGTTTTTTTACTTATTAAAATAAACATAGTAAATTATAAAATATTTTACTTCAAAAATAATTTTCTTTGATCTAGTTCCTAAGAATTCTATAGTAAAGAAAACATTACACTTTAAGTTTTTAAAATTTTATTTTAGTACTGCGTTTACTGATTCTACCGCTCCAAGTAAAATAATTGGGTCCACCCATGAATAAAACATACCTATTTACCTTATAATATATATATATATATATTAAAGCCGAATGAAACTAATATAACCTCATACAACAAAAATTAACAATGCGTTATCCCACATCGACTAGGTGGAGACGATTTTCATGAGCTGTGCAAAAGCAGACAATAGGATAGGTTGAGAGCTCCAGAATTGTAAATTTAAGTCATAAATACTGGAACGGAAGTGAGAACACGTGCAGAGCGTGGGAACAGGAACTGTTGAGAAGAATTGTGTGACTGAAGTTGAGCGTAAAAACAAGAGCCATTAAGAAGAAATGTGTAACTTAGACAGTGACAAGTCATAAATGGAGATTGTGCACAAGCTCACCATAAGGTCATCCACAATTTTGAAAATCGTGAACACGAATGGAGTGTAAAATGAACAACGTCTACACATACCTACCCAACCGTGCCAGTCGTGACAAACAAAATACAAGAAAATAGAGAATAAACAATACTAAAGCCCCAAAAAAAAAAAAAAAAAAAATTATAACAAAATCGAGTTTTCATAAAATAAAAATGATAATAAAAAAAAAAAATTAAAAAAAAAAAACCACAAAGCAGTCGCACATTCACTATCTAAACCATATGAACATGTAGAAAATAAAGCAACCCAAAATAATTAAAAACAGAGCAACCCCATTAACGATATGTAGTAAAGAAAACAACCCATTAACGATAAACTCACCAAATGTACTCAGCAATCACCTTCTCAGTGCAATCAGAGAGGTTTAAGTTGACGAAATTTGAAAGCAGAGACATTGCTGAAACACAGAAGAACGAAGGTCTTCAATTGACTCTCTCTCTCCTCACTGTCTCTCTCTCTCTCTCTCTCTCTCTCTGATTGATTGAATGCAGAGTACTCTGGACACAGAGGTAATGAGCTGCCTTTATAGTGCGGTCTCTATGTTGATAACACAAGTCATTTCACGAGTAGGGACTATGAAAAAGTAATTACTACACAAATATTTGTACATATATTATGTATTATATTAAGTATTTTTTTACCATTTTTTTACGAAGTAAATGAAATAATGTAAACAAAAATTTGGGAAGTTGGAATTTAAAAGAGAATCTACTGAGGATTTCCAAGTTCTTATATTTGTAAGATATTACTATAAATAAATAAAAAGTCGAATTCCTAATTTTAATTTGACACCTATTTTATGTTGTTGTAATTCCTAGGTCAAAATTATGCTCTTTGCTTAGGCATGGTGTCAAGAGATGCAATTTTCGCTCTTTTAATTATTTTGGAAACAATTTATGCTAAAACTCTTTTATGCATGTGTCTTGCAATTGACATTTTTATTTTTATATCAATAGACACTCATTAGTCAATCCCGATTCGAATGAGAAGGTCTAATGGTAAAGTCTTTGAATCGCCTTAGGGTCACTCCTAATAAGTTTTTCTGGTAATTTCCCATTTACCTGGTGGTGGGTGGTTATGAAGTGCTAAAAAAAGTTCACATAAATTGTACCTCTAATAAAAATTAGAAGTATTAAATTAGTGTTTGGCCAAAAAAATGAAATAAAATTTCTTTGCTAACTCAAGCTTCTTGAGAAAGTTCAGTAATCTGACAGAGCCCATTCGTTAGAGAATAGCCATTCACTTTCAAACTTCATCCCTGTCATGGCCTGTGGATGAGGCATCTGCTGCCAAATTGACGTATTGATGGATGATGGTCCAAAGAGCATCCATTTGAAGCACTTACTTCTATGCAGTGTAATAATATATATTATATATGTTTGATATATAGGATAGAGACATGGGGAAAGAAAAAGGGATTCTAATGGAAGGCTTTTTTCTAATTTTGTTTAGTTGGGTAGGAGAAAAATGAGGAACAACAAAATCTTTATTTTGTAATGCACTTTTATTTGGATCAACACATCATCTTATTTAAAATGAATTATTGTTTAATTTAATCGTAAATACTCAAGTTGACAAAGTTTTGGGCACACATAAGCATTTTTACCATATTCAGAGCATGTATGATTATAGTTCGTCTAATGTGATAACTTGTCCAATTTCTCATACCTATCCACATAGGTCACCTCAATTACCTCCCTTAAGGGGCTAACGTCCCCATTGACCACACTTTTGGTTAAGCTTCGACTTTGATATTATTTGTAACTGCTCACTTCACCACATAATATAATATTGTTTGTTTTGGGAATGATCCTTCACTATTTTGTTCACCTAGTACCTTGCACCAGCCTACGTCACACCAGCCAGCATAGATTGGCACAAGTTGAATTTATATTTAGAATCCTCTCTTTTTGGTCATGTGTACTTAAAACCACAACTTAACAATACATCAATAACGTAGCAATTTTAAATCGTTAATGCAATATAAGTGTATTACAAAAATTATTACATCGTTATTATATAAGTGTTGCACATTATATTATATCATGTAGCATTGTGATGTAGCATGTTACATAGCTAGTCTAGGTATAATTAGTCTTTCTCTCCTGTCCTTAAACACTTTTATTTGAAAAAGAAAAAGAAAAAACAATTGATGAAATATATATATTTATTTATTTATTTATTTAGAGAGAGAGAGAGGGAGACAGAGAGAGAGAGAGAAATTGAGGCCATCCATTTCCATCCTTCAATCTATTATTGGAAGAAATAGATAGTGATGTGTTGGGAAAAGTGGTCTACCATCCCTTCTTTTTCCTCCCCTCTTTCTCTCCACCAAAGAATAAAGGAATTCTATTTCCCTTCACCACGCAAGTGACAAGAAGGAACATATTCTACTGTTTACATTCCTCGGTGTCTGATCAGAACAGATGAATGGAAATACTAGATAAAATCCATTCGAAGCAAACCTATCTAATTAATCATGGAATAAAGGCATCAATGTAGTCAAAAGAAAGAACAAAAGTATCAACAATCAATTCCTATCCAATGAACACGACTTTAAGGTCCAACACTTCTCAGTAGGCAAATGCTATACCCCAATTTCCAAGTGGACACCAACTTCCCAAATGTCCATCCATGTTGTGGAAGTTGGGTACCATTCTCAGCTATGCCCTTCCCCTATGCACTAAACAAGAGCTAGCTATATGTTGGCTAGAAATAAGAAACACTTTGTTTAAAAAGCTAGCCATATGTAGGTCCAAGTGTGTGACATATAGATAGTTATAAGTCTTTTCAAATAATATTTGAGTGTGTTTGAAGTTTCAAACTCTTCGTAGTAAAGCATTTTACCGTACCTTATCACAATTGATATCTATAATTACTCATACATGTGACCATGCTATGTATGCCTAGAATCCAACTCCTTTACTTGAATGGTTAGTAGCATTAGTTTGTCTCTTTAATCTTTAATTGAGGTGCACAATTAGTAACAATCCTACAGACACACGCATTCTGTTCCAGTAACTCGAACCACTCACCTCTCATTCAGAATGTGAGCGTTCCTTTCTTTGCTAGGTTGGCTTTTTCAACTTGGGGACAAAAAATAAGCATCTATTTAACTTTCTATTTTTTAAAAAAAATAATAAAAAAGAAAAAGAAATGGAATGTTCTAAAATCCTGACACTACCCTCGTCAACAAAAATAAATAAATAAAATACCTTCAGAAGAAGGATGGGCTTTGGTTTTAAACGAATTGATAGTAGACTTACAGTTAGTTAGGTCACAATAGGCTTGGTGTTAACATTTCCCACTCGGGTCTGAGATATTGTTACCCGCAAAACGGACAGTATTGGGTAAACCTCCCCAAGCCCAAGGATAGACTATTTTCAGCCCAAAAGTAGCCCATTACAACCCAAGTTCCTTCGGAGTCATACCCCAGGTTGAACTCATTTAAACAAAACACAAGATTATACGTATATATAGTTATATACACATGAAATTAAGGCAAGGAATCAGATAATACACACTTATAACAATCCAAAGGATTATGCATGTTGTACATCTCTGGGACAGCTCTGTATTTTAATATGTGGAGACATGTATTTTAGAATTTTTTATTTTTTATTTTAGATTTTTCTCTTTGTCCCGGTAAGAATTGATCTTAATTATATGTTCTTCTCAAATTGTCATTTTCTTTTTCCATTCAATGAACTGGTTTCTTCAAACGAAAAACTAAATTAATCACCAAAAGTGGTTTCTTCTCTTTGAATAATTATCAGGAGTGTTACTTATTTTGGTAGGTCAGTAATAAATTTATGTTAAGATTTCCTGAAAAACTTTTCTCATGGTTTAGAGAAAAAAAAAAAATAATAAAAATAAAAAAATCAAATCAAATTTCAAGTGTCTTTTGGGGTGTAGAAACCAATAATATTATACCTAAGAACCATTAATCAATACAACCATCGTGTAACACTAAAAAGAGTTATTAAGTATAAAGTTGGCATGTAAAAAGGAAAAATAAAAAATAAAAAAATCAGCTCACAATGATAGATCATTCATTTACTTATTCACTATATATATAAACATTTTAGAAATGAAAATATCTAGCATAATGATAGAGGAATTTAAATTTGTTCCATAACCGCGAAAAGATTCAGCTCACAGCTGCTCACTCACAAAGAAAAGAAATTTGTTCCATAACAATAGTTAAGTACAATCACAAATCATGGAGAAAATACACCCATTCCTACCTTCAAGTTAATGTCTCACCAATTTAATGGGAGGTTGTGCTACGTAGAACTTTGTATTTACATAAAGGTCTACAATACTTTGGAATATCATATTTCAGAGATTTTTGAATGTGATGATGAAACTCACTTGATTGATGATGTAACGATTGATAGGATTCGGAGTACCGTATTGATTGATTATCTAACGGTTGATAGGCTTTGTAGTACAGTATTGTAAACTTTTTCATGACGTGACATACGTATTCAAAAAACTTTTTACACTCGTGCAGATAATTATAGATTGTTGAGGGAGAGGATTTTAGAATGTAGAAAAGTTGGTAGAAATTAAATTATCGTAGAACTTTAAAGAAGATTACGGAGTTTTATAAAGTTTGTAAATACCTAAGATATTTGAATGGATAATTTTAGAGATTAGATTTTACTGTTTAGCTTTCAGGATGCCCCATATATAGGGTAGGTTTGATTTGTAAATCAAGTTTGAAGAGCCAGCCGAACCAACTCAAAAATTGAGTGTGATAAGCATCAAAAGAGAGGGTGGCTACAACCTTATTGTCCATAACGATAAAATATTTATACAAATTTTTACACATCTTTAGTGACATTCAACCTTGTAATGAGAATGACAAATGCATAAGTTTGATGGAATTTGAATCGTGAGCGGGTCAAACATATGCTGCAAAACATATTTAATGGGTTTGGATCTACTATTCTTGTTTTTCAAATTTTATAAAATTTGAAAAAAAAAAAAAAAAATTCAAATTGGCAAGGCTGTTATAAGACCCAACCCATTTACAATATATTATAACCGTTACAATAAATAGAACCTGTTTACAAATAAATTAATTTTAAAAAAAAAAAAATTTAAAAATAATAAAAATCAATTTTTAACTTGTGCTAACGGTCAGCAAGTTGAAAACAAAAATTCAAGTTGACAAGTTAACCCATTTCGGTTGATAAGGCCTAATACGTTTACAAAAGTTCCGACCCATTCACAAAGGATTTGGTCCGTTTAAAAAGGATTCAATAAAGAATTCAACCTGTTTACAAGGATCTGGCCAATTCTCACAAACGAACCCATTTGAACAACCCTACCCTCTTTAGCAGAAATTTTGTTTCCTGCAAAAGTACTATCCTATTTTGATTTAGGTCAAATTACTAACACATCCTAAGTTATGTCAAATCAAATCTTAAATAAATGGTTATTTTGATTCTAATTTGTCTTCACTTTTCAAAACTGTCATAGTGCTTTTTACATG